CTGTTTGTGTGGCTCATCGCAACGGTGGGCTTCGGAGAGGGCCCCCCCCGCCCCCCCCCCCCCCCCCCCCAAAGCCGGCTAATGCAGTACGGTAGGATCAGGGAGACGCACGCAGACGCAACTCTAATCGAGGTAGTTCCGGCCGGCGAATGGCTCACCGTCGCTCCGGTGAGGATCGGCATCGAGCGCACTTACACGCCGCGTGTCCGTGCCGCATTGAATCTCTGACACCCGCACCCTTACGTCGCCACTCACCCCACCCCGCCGTACACACTCATACGCACATACTCACACTAGTCTCACACCCATGTTCCGTTTCTCTGCCCCGCTCCTCCCACCATTCCTCCCGCCGCTAGTCCGGGCGCTTGCTGTCGCGCCGCGGTCGGCCTTTCTCATCCGCGACCTGCACGACGTCGTCGAGCTAGGCAACATCGACTACGCCGGCGACGGCATGCTCGAGTCGCACGGCTTTATCACTCCCAATGGCGACGGCCTCGGCTTTGGACTGGAGGAGACTGTCCTCGAGCCGGGTGCATCCATCTTTGTCGAGCACGACACCCATCGCCGCTGCCTCTGGATCGCAAATGGCGAGGGCGAGCTCGAGTTGGTCCCCAACAGGGACGCCCGTGGCGCAGGCATCCAGTACGCGCTCAAGCCCGGTGTCTGTTGCGTCCTCAACGTCAACGAGCCGCACTTTGTCTCTGTCGCCGCAGATGCCGACGCTCCGCTCGCTCTCGTCTCGTTCTGGGTCGATGCTGCCCGCAACCCGGGCACCGCCGATCGCTGTGACTCGGACGATGAGGAGCTGGCACGGCTCAAGGCCCGCGTCGCCGATCTCGAGGCCGAGCTTGGCCGGCGCCGCGGCATCCCGCCGGACGCCAGCTCATAGCCGCACTCCTCTCTATCTTTCTCTCTTTACTTGCCGCCGCATTCTGTCGGCAGAGCAAACGCTGCCGGGTCGTACGCTACGACATGCATGTCCGCCACCTGGAGCTGGCCCGGCAGCTTGAGTGAGGCCAGCGATCCCGTGACCGTCACCGGCGCACATGGCGGCGATGCGAGTACATGCCAGAGCGAGCTCTGTGGCACATACTCCCAAACGAGCGAGCCCTGTGGCTGCGGATGCTTGTCGGCGATCCTCCAGTCCGGGTTGGACGCGTCGAAACAGAGGCTCACAAAGCTACGCGAGGTGGCCACATTGTGCTCGGCGGTGCACGTTCCGTGCTTCACATCAAAGTAAAAGTTGGAATACCTTGGCCCGTTCTCCATCGCGTACAGCACATGTTCGGTCGTGTTCACAATCAGCCCGTGGCTCGCCGAGTACAGCAGCCCGATATCAACCTCGGTGCCCTCCAACCGCGCCGCAAAGTCCGCAGGTGTACAGCACCCGCCAGCCTGCCCCCGCACCCCTCCCACCAGCATCACCACCAGCCCCACCGCAACCACACCCGCAAACGTCACGCCCACACATCTTTCCTTCGCCGCCATCGAGCTCGGCTTCCACGACAAGTGCCTCTGCTCCGCGCCAGCCGCAACTGCCGACTGTCCTCGGCACCTCACTCGACTCGACGCGACTCGCCCCAACTCGACTGCACACACACGCTCATGGCTGCCTCTGTTGAGCAATGGGCTCGGCGCTGGGCAGAGGCCCATATGGACTTCTCATCGCGGCCAAGTCTGCACTCGCATGATTACGACAACGTCCACCGCTCGCCGCCGGGATTGCCGGCGCTGGCCACGGCTGCTCGAGGCGCCGCCGCCTGGGTGGCTGCTCTGGTCATCGTCTACACTGCAGATCTTCCCCTGGGGTTGGTGGTCGGCTCGATGCTTGTGGCTGGCTTTGTGTATGCGTCTACAGTCATCGCCGAGCGCAAAGCTTGGCTCGCCGGTCGCCATGGTGGGCACCGCGATCTCGTCGCTGTGGCTCTTGTCGCGCTTGCCTCGGCTACCTGCCTCCCATCAACCGGTGTGGCTGCCAACGCCACGCAATGGGTATGGGCATCAGCGGCCTGGATTGTTGCCCTACACTCGGCGCTTCTCGCCCGCATTCCAGGCATCCAGCTCCGCTCATTTACCTCGCGGGCACGGACCCACGGCCGCATGTCGGTCACCCAGTGGGGCATCGGCATCGGCGCTCCGCTCGGCTTGCTAGCCTTCAGTATCGTCTGGCCGTCGCCGTGGCGGATCGCTGTGTGGCTGTGGTGGCTGGCACTCGCCATCGCTGTCCTCGCCACCCGCGCAGTCCTGCGCACCAGCAGTGTGCGATACCACCTCCACCTCCACCACTGGTTCACAGGCATCGCCGTCATCGCTCCAGCCGGGCTCGCCACATCAGCCACTGTAGCCTCGGGCATCTGCCTTGGTGCCGGCCTCGCTCTTTTTGTCGAAGGCGCCGGTCGGTGGTCACTCGCGCCACTGTTCCATCTCGACTAGCCGCGAGCGCGCGACCTCACGGACTGGCGAGTGTCGCGCCCCAATGGCCCGCTGACGCTCGTATGCGCTTTGTACCCGGCGTGCGAGGTACTCGTCCAGCGGCGTACTCGGCGTGCACTCAGCGTGCACTGTCGAGTCGCCAGCTCTCGCTCCGCCTCCCGGCATCTCGCTTGGCCGCCTGGTCTCGCCCATGTCTGCAGACGCAGGCGCCATCGAAGCCTCGTAGCCACTTTCACTGCCAATTTGGACCCGGTGCGGTGAGCCGGCGTCACGAAGCGCGCTCTGGAGCGAGCGCACGTGCGCCTCGAGCCGAAAGACAGCTGCCCGATGAGCCTCGATCTCGCCGGTCAGCTGATCGTTGATGCCCTGCAGTGTCTCGTTCTCCAGCTGCATCCGCTTAGCCATCCGCCGCTCCTCTTCCAACTCGACATCCTTCCTCCGCAGCGCTTCCTGCGCCGTACCCACAGGCGCCACAGCAGCGGCAGCGTTGCTCGACTCGGTTGCCTCGGCGTGCAACCGCCGCCACTCCTCCGCTGCCGCCTCGCTCTCCTCCAGCTGCGCTTCCAGTGTGTTCACCTTACCGCGCAGCGAGTCAGCAGCAGACTCGGCGACTCGCGCCCGCTCAGTAGCATGTACAGCCTTGGCCTCTGCACTGGCCTGCGCCACCTGAGCCAGCTCCAGTCGCTCCAGTAGCACCTCCACCCGACGGGTCGAGCCCTCCAGCGCATGCTCCAGACTGCGGTTCTTTTGCCATGCGGCACCGGCCACATCTTGCGCATGAAGAAGCCCAGACGCCGTGCCCTCTAGTCGCCCGCGGAGGTGTGCCACCTCCATCTCGCGCTCGCCCATAGCCATCAGACTCGAGTGATGTCGCTTGAGCCTGCGTCGGCCGCTGTCGCTTCGCCCGCAATCCCGCCGCCGCCAACGCCCCTCTTGACGGCCGCTCTCTTCTTTCGGCGCCACCAGCGCCAATTACCGCTCCACCACAGCTTTGAATATTTTTTCTGCTTTGGCACGGCTCCTCCTGACCGACGAGGTGGCCATGGGATTCTGCCGCTCTGCCTGAGCCTCTTCAAGATCTCGTTTGCTCAACTGCCTCTCATACACTACAAGACTACGATCTACCGCAAACTGCATCGCAGCCATGGTGATACTAGCCATTGTGGACAAAGCAGTGGCGTGGGAGGGAGACGGCAGCTGGTCAATTCGGTCAAAGCCCGCGAGGGGTGGGACACAATCTTGTCCATCGCCCTCTCACGTCGCCTTCTCTCCTCGACAACAGCCTCTCCCCACTGCGCAGCTACCGCATACGCACACACACACACACACACGCGCCTACCACTAGCCGCATGAATCTGCTCCAGTCGACTGGACGCGGGAGCGGGTGCGATCTGCTTCCGACCATGCGGTGAATTGGCGGTCAATTGAACACGCAGACTGTCCCCCGCACGTCGTGAATCAAACCACGGCGGATTTGACCGCCGTCAGCGCGCCAAGTTGTGGACGCACACTCCACTCACCACACGCTACCTGTAGTCATGGCCGAGTACGAGTACACGTACACAGACGCGTCGTCCGAGGCGCACGGATCCCCTGCCGACGACTCGTGGTGGTCAGACGAGTCGAGCTGGAGCTCGGCGGCGCCGAACAGCAGGCGGCGGTCAGCTTCACGAACGCAGGCGGCGGCGGGAACCGCACCGGACCCTGCGCCCGCACAGATCACGCTCTCGACCTTTGACAACGTGGCTGTGCCTCGCAACAGCGACAATGGCGACGGCGGCATTGGAAATGGTGTGGTCTCGCCGCTCGTCACGGTCACCCGCCCGCTCGGTGACCATGACGTCACGCTGACCAACGACGAGACATCGGTCGGTGGCGGTGCCGACTCGCTCGATCCGTTCTCTATCTACGACACGCTCGAGCCGCCGCCCAAGTACGAATCGTATCTTTCGGGCTCGCGCCGCCGGATCCCGGTCAAGAACTTTAAGAACATGTCGACGATGCAGAAGCGCGAGGCGTCGTCGCTGGCGGAGCAGCTCAAGGCTGCGCTGGCCAACGCCGGTGTCAACGACGACGTCGAGGTCGGCGCGGCGAGCCCGGCCGAGCGCCCAGGCACTCTCGGCTGGATCCGTGGCGTTTTCATTCCGTGTCTTATCAACATCTGGGGTGTCATCCTCTTCCTTCGGCTCGGCTGGTGCACAGGACGGGCTGGGGCGTTGCAGATGACGGTCATCATCCTCCTCGCCACTGTCGTCACCACCCTCACCACCATCTCGCTCTCGGCAATTGCCACCAATGGCAACGTTAAGGCCGGCGGTGCGTACTTTCTCATTTCGCGGAACCTCGGCCCGGCGTTTGGCGGCTCCATCGGTGTCCTGTTCTCGTTTGCCTCGGCCGTCTCGGTCTCGCTGTACGTTGTTGGCTTTGCTGAGACGCTTGTCGATATCTGGGCGTGGAACCATCCGTTCGGTGACCACGCGGTGCGGCTGGTGGGCGCACTGCTCCTCTCGACAGTCTTTGCGCTCTGCCTCCCGGGCATCGGGTGGATCTCGCGGCTGCAGATTATGCTGTTTTCGGTTCAGGTCCTCGCCATGGCCTCGTTCACCGGCGGTGGCCTCATCTCCGATGCGTGGGGACCAAGCCGGCCAACGGATTTGTGGGCTTCAAAGCCAACAACATCGTGGTCGGCCCGCAGTATGGACCCGAGTCGTTCTTCTCCGTCTTTGCGGTCTTCTTCCCGGCCGCGACTGGCATCATGGCCGGCGCCAATGTGTCGGGCGATCTCAAAAACCCCTCGTCAGCTATTCCGCTGGGGACGCTCGCGGCCATTGGCGTCTCGGCACTTGGCTACATTGGCCTGACTTGGCTTTACGCAGCGGTCAACACCCGCGACGGGCTTGTGAACAATCTGTTTATTGTCAAGGACATGTCGATCTGGGAGCCGCTGCTGTTTGCGGGCATCTTTGCGTCGACCATCTCGTCGTCGTTTGCATCGTTTGTGGGTGCGCCGCGAGTGTTCATGGCTGTGGCCAAGGACAAGCTTGTGCCGATCCTGAACTACTTTGGGGTCGGACGCGCGTCGGACGGCGAGCCGCTCCGGGCGTACTGCGCAGTCTATGTCATCGCGCTCGGGTGCGTGGCCATCGGCGATCTGAACGCTATCGCTTCACTCATCACGCAGCTCTTCCTCATCTCGTACGGCTTTGTCAACTGGGCTTGCTTTGCCTCTTCGTACACCAAGTCGCCGGGTTGGCGGCCGGGCTTTGTCTACTACCACTGGTCGCTGGCGGTTGTAGGCGCGGTCCTCTGTCTCACGGTCATGATCCTCATCGACTACATCACTGCTGCGATTGCCATCGCCATTTGCGTCGCGCTCTTCTTGTTCATCTCCTTCAAGGATCCGGACGTCAACTGGGGCTCGGTCGACCAGGCGCGGCTCCGGGTGAACGCGCTCAAGTCGACGCTGCGGCTGCAGTCGACGCCACAGCATGTCAAGACCTGGTCGCCGCAGATCCTGCTCCTGACCGGATCGTGGTCGGAGCGTATTGCGCTCATTCGCATGGGTGAGCTCCTCACCGCCAAGTCGCTCCTCCTCCTCGGGAGCGTCGTGGTGGCCGCCGAGCCGCTCGTCTCGCCACTCGTCCTCCAGGGGCAGCGCGCCGCGTCGGCGGCCGAGTGGATCGTGACCCACAAGGTGCCGGCGTTTGCGTCTGTCACGGTGGCGCCAACGCTCCGCGACGGCGTCCAGCAGCTTCTGATGTGCTCGGGCATGGGACTTGCGCTGCGGCCGAACATTCTCATGATGGGCTTCCGCCACCACTGGCGGCTCGACGCCGAGCGCTCGCACGAGTACGTCAACGTCATCCGCGATGCCATCGACGCGCAGGTCGGTGTCGTCCTCTGCCGCAATGCCGCATTTTACGACTACACCTCGCCGTCGCCGTCGTCGGCTACCATCGACGTGTACTGGCTGGAAGACGACGGCGGGCTCACGGCCATTCTCCCGTTGCTGCTCCAGCGCTCGTCGCTCTTTTCCAAGACCTCGATCCGCATTTTTAGCAGGGTGTGTGGGCCAAACGAGGAGGAAGCACGCGAGCAGCTCGCGCTGCTCATGCGAAAGCTGCGGATCAACACATCCGAAATCAACATGCTCACAACGCTCAAGGCGCGGCCGAACCCAGTGTCGGTCGACTGGTTCGACGAGCTCGAGCTGCTCACCTCGGCGCGGACGTCCGACTTTCTCGACAACCGCGAGTTTGGCGTCGGTGAGGAGCCGATCACTCTGCCAGAGCTCATGGTTCACAACTCGTCGTGGACCAACTACTACCTCCGACTTGGCGAAATCATTGCCGAGAACTCGTCCAACGCCGCCGCCATCTTTGTCCCGCTGCGCATTCCCGACAACAACGACGATGCCCAGCTGTATATGGCGTGGCTCGAGGCGCTCTCGCGCAACATCCACAGGCCGATCTTTTTTGTCCGTGCCAACGACGACAACGTCCTCACTGCCGAGGCTTGAGCACCGGTCCGCAACAAACAATCTTCCAAACTGTACGCCAGCTCGTTCATGACCTTGACGCGCTGTCATCCCCAGCCGCGCTGTTGCTCGCAGAGACCGAGCTAAGATCGATGGTGATCCGTGCATCCTCTGAAGCATCGTCCTGTCCCATGTTGAGGTACGGCATCAGCTGCATGCCCACCAATGCCGATGCCATACCAGCAAGACCAAGCTGTGTGGAGGGGTTGGGTGGGGTGGAGAGGGGAGGAGGTGAGGTAGGGGGGGGAGGGGAGGGGGGGGGGGGGGGGGAGGGGGGGAGGGGAGGGAGGGAGGGACGGTCGTTACGGT